CTTCCTTCCTTCCTTCCTTCCTTCCTTCCTTCCTTCCTCCCTCCCTCCCTTCCTTCCTTTCTTTCCCTCACCTCATTCTGTATTCATAAAGGCTCTGGGACAGTGTCAAGCCCAGAATAAACTCAGCACGGCCATACACCATGAGATACAGATCTCCCCTGACTTATGATGGGGTTATATTCAGGTAAACCCAGTGTAAGTTGAAAATCTCCCAAGTCGAAAATGCACTTAATACACCTGCCCAGCCGAACGGCATAGCAGAGGCCAGCCTGCCTTAAACGTGCACAGAACACTCACATTAGCCTACAGTTGGGCAAAATCGTCCAACACAAAGCCTAGTTTATAATAAAGTGTTGACTATCTCATGTAATTTACTGAATTCTGTACTGAAAGTGAAAAGCAAAACTGTCATGTGGGTACAGAATGGTTGTAGATGTATTGGTTGTTGACCCTCATGTGATTTCGGTCACAGGGCTGACTGGGAGCTGTTGCTGCCCAGCAGCACAAGAGAGTATGGACCACCTATCACCAGCCTGGGAAAAGATCCAAATTCAAAATTCAAAGTACGATATCCACTAAATGTATATTGCTTTTACATCGTTTTGAAGTAAAAAAAAAATTATTACGTTGAACCACTATAAGTTAGGGCCAGTCTGTATTATAAAATAACATCCATGATTTTCTAGCATAGGAGTTAAGTGTGGGGAATTTATGAGTCAGACCAATTTGGGTTTTAATCCCAATACAACCAGCTACGGATACTAAGTCAAGTGACGGTTTCGTACCTCTGTTTTCTCATCTGTACAAAGGGGACAACAATAGTGTCTACTGCAGAGTTGTGAAAACTGAGTGAAAAAAAAAATCCAAGTAACGTGCTGAGCATATGTTCATTTAATAAATGTTAAATATCATCATCATTATCCATGCTCATTGTAGAAAATTTGAAAAATACAGAAACATGTAAAAGAGAAAACTATAATAATCAAAAAAATCTCCTCACTACCTAGGGATCCTCATTATTAACATTTTGCTGTTTTCTTCTCAGTTTTTTAAGCTAAGGAATGTTGGGTCATCCTGAATATATAGTTTGATGTCCCCCCACCTCCATTTTAGTAAGTCTTCTTGCAAAGGTTTGTTACTTGATTCGAAATGATACTTTAGCTATTCTTAGCTATCGAGGTAAAACTCTAGCCCATGACCTTCTTTCGTCTTTTTTTAAACCCCCAACACTAGCTTTGAAGCTAAGGCAATTTGCTGACAGAACAAACCCAGTAGGTTTGTTGTGTACTCGTGTGGATATGAGACACCGTTAGTCACAGGCACTTGCTTGTCTGCCATTTCAGGGGCATTAATAATACCCTTTTAAGATTCGTATTGTATTTGCTGTTGCAAGTAAACAGTTAACACTGTGCTTACAGGGTTGAGATAAGGAAACGGGCACAGAACTGTAGCAGAGAAACAAACACCTCTCTCCCTGCATTCCTGACTTGGGCCATAAGTCAGGTAACTTCTGTCCCCTCCCACTCGCCCCCGTGAAGGAAGGCTGAGGCAGTCACCTGCGCGGTGCGAATCTCACTGGGCTGGCTTAATAGTGACAGCTAACACTGCACCATCAAAGTGAGAAAGAGGCTCCACCTTCTTTCCCTTGCTGTCCTGGGGCCACCTGTGCTAAGCAATGAGGGTTTGCCTTAGGCTTCATCAGGTAAGGAAGGAGAGAGGCAAAAGTCTGGAACACTCAACTAGTCCTTTCTTTTCTAAGGTTTCCATTAGCAACTGGATGGGTAAGTCAGGCCACTCACTGGGGGTCTAATTCTCTTACTTCACAGATGAGAAAATAGGAAACCTCTTTTTTCTTTAGCTTCAGTTCTAAGCCAGCACAGCTTTGAAATTAATAAAGCCCTTATTTTCCTTTACAATGACTTAGTGGGGGCTCAAAGAGGAGGAACGGGGAGAGATAGGAAATCACCAACAGAAGCAATCGGAGTGGGTGATCCAGCCAAACCCACCATGCCTCCGGGGTCACCAGTGGACCAGTCATGTCCCGCACAACAGTCCTGGGGCAGACTGAGCACCTCGGTTGCTTCATCCAGGGGATGGGGTATAAGAGTTCAGCAGGTGCAGACTTGAAGAGAGCCGGAGAGACTCAGAATTAGGGTATCCAAGATGACCTAGGGGAAATAAGAGCCCTCTTATCTCACCTCTGACCAGTCTGCTGTTTTCCACTGTGGACAAGGGAACTCATTGCATCTCTGAAAGGTGACTTTCTCTTGATGTGTGCATTTGCTGTCATCCAGGACATCATTGCGGGTGTTGACACAAATAGCCCTTCTCCTCTGGCTTCCACCATCACAGCTTTTTGAACACTGAAAGGAAAATACGCTGAGTAAAACTGTTTTAAGTTTCTTCTCTAGCATGGTCAAGGTCCTGGCTATGCTGCCTTGTCTCTTTCAGCCCTTAAGAAACAACCACCCAACCAATCCAATTCTAGTTGTGATTTGGGGAGTATCTGTTCATATTATCCATTTATTCACCGGGTTTATATTAAAGTCAATATTAGTGAATAAGCATAAGAAAATAAAATTGGAAATGGCCTGTGGGGTATGGAGAAAGGGATTAGATAAGTTGTCCCACCACTCTCAATTTTCCACACGCCATGTTCAGTGTCATATAATCAGACATTCCAAATTGATCATGGTACTCTTTTCTGCAGAATGAGGTCAGGCATTGTAAATCAATCATGGAACTCTTTTCCATACAGTCTAAATAGGGTTTCTCAATGCAGCCCTCACTGATTAATTCGTTGATTAGCCACCATCAACTAATCAGACTTAGCATCCAAGAAGAAGATGCTCATTGAGTGAGAACCAACTTACTTCAGTCCAGGCAGAATAGCGCCAGCCACCCGTGTTACATTCTCCTGAGCATTTTTCCCGGTTGCTTGGTTTGGGGTGACCGCTGCAAAAACTGTCATCAACCTTCTCAGTCTTCCCATCTAGCCTGCTGTATTTGGCACAGTAGATGTCTAATGTGCGGTAACCCAAGCCACACTGGGCACTACATTCACTCCTGCTGGCCACGTGCCACCTATGCATAAATAATGGGGAGAAACCAACATTTCTGTTAAATATGTATGTCCTATCTATTTTCAACTGGTAGAAGACTGGAGTTCTTTTTTCTTCCTTAACTCAAATACCACAAAACCCAAGGCCACAGTCAGTTACTGAAATCCAATTTTAAACCAACATATCCATGTATTTTTCATGGCTGCCAATGTACATGGAAGTCACAGAGTGATAGTCAGAGGTCCTATCTTTGTGAAGATTCTCCCCTGATACAGTCAATCTGAAATTCAAGCAACCAAAAAGAAGAAAACATTGGAATTCAACGGAGCAAAAAAAGCAATTTTATATTTAAAAGGTTCATGCAACTCAGCATTTCATTTCTCAAGAAGGCTGCTTCTGATGGAGAACCACCACTGGAAACTCTCTGTAGAAAACCTCCTTTATATGGGCCATGCTAAAATGTGTTCAGTGAACATCCTGTGACTTAATAAAGGAATGGATAATTGGCCTGTAACTGTGAATTTCAAGTGTGCCAAACTCTGTGAATAAAGACTGAGTTCCTTTTAAACATGGGCCACAGTCTATATAGTTTGATTAGACAATTTTTTTTAAAGACTTAATTTTTTTAGAGCAGTTTTAGGCCCATGCCAAAACCGAGAGGAAGGTACAGAGACTTCCCATATGCCCCAGGCCTCACACATGCACAGCCTCCCCATTATCAGCATCTACGCACAAAGTGGGACTTACTCTTTTAATGCCCCCAAAATACGGTCAGTGCTCAAATTAAAATACAAAAATTTTAAACTGAATAGAAGAGTATAAATAAATAAGCTTAAAATGTAGGTTGTTGATTCAATTTAACAATCCAAAAAGGATAATTTCTTCATAATCTTCATTTGAATTAACTCTTGTTAACTGTCTACTTCTCAGAAATTGGGTAGTTTGCCGAATACGGATGCCCTAAGAATTCTTCCATCCACATCTGTCCAGGGGCAGGACTGGGAAACAATAAGGAGTACTGGCCACATGCTTATCTTGGAGTTTCTCACAAATGCTTAAAAGTAGGTCAGAGTTGACCACCTTTTACGTTCGGCATGCAAAGTGGGCTACTGCGATTTTCCATTAGAGTGACACAGTATTTTGGGATTTTGTTCTAACCGGAACACGTTAAATGAAGGACTGTAAAACAATGCTTTATCTCATCCTGTCAAAGTTTAATCTGGGCGAACTCTCACTTCCCTGAGGAAGCAAGGCAAAAATGTGGTCCAATTCCACAGAGGCATCTGGAACTTTCATCTGCTCTTTGATTCTTGGCTACCTTCTCTTTGCCTTCATCACCATTTTCTCGTGGAAAGCTTATCCGTCCTGGGTAAGGGAGGCAGGAGTCCTGCCCCCACAAGAAAACACACCAGCAGATCAAGTGGAACAGAGTCTCTCTGATATTCACACAATCTTCAGAATTTGAGCAGAGAACCTGGAAGAGTCTATGGAAATGTCACAGCGTTGCCTTAGGAAAGTTCTTCTCAAAATGCTATTATTGTCTGCTTCATATTCTCTCCCTGGAAGGGGGTCTCAACTCCAGGGTTTTGAATTCATTTGGTTCCTTTCATGCGACAATGCATTTTATTACTATATTTCAGAGAAGCAAAGTATTTGTTATAAGCGGAAACAAGAAATGTGTATGCCTCTGTGGGTGTGTGGGGCATTGTGGGAGTAAATAACACTAGGAATAAATTTGGGCACTAATGATTTAAGCAGGTTTCTATATTTCAGAACTTCTCTGGGCCTTCCAAATGTTAACTGATACGATGCATGTCTACACAGGGGAGGAGAGAGGTGGGAAGACTTCTTAAACATACTGGTTCACCACGAATCATCTCGTGGAACTTGTGTTCCACAGACATGCTTTGGGAAGATTATTTAGAGTTTGATCCATCAGTAACAATCCTCTCTCCAGTCTTTCAGTGTTGTTCATAGCTATTCAGCAACAATTAGTATGAACCACAATGACAGTGACTGTCAGGTTTTTTTGTGAGTAATTCAGTTCGGCAATCAGATAAATAATTATTTTTCTGAAAAGATCTTAACTCTAATTTAACTAAATTAACTCAATTGGCTGAAGCAATGGGTTTATAAGTACATTAGTTACCTATAAAAAAATTAATACTGTATAGTCTGCCTTTTAATGTCTTGGGTTTTTTTCTTCCTCAATGACTTATCAATGCTTTGTGACAAGCCCATGAATAAGCAGGTCAGAGGTCCTGGGTAGACATGAAGTATAGGGGGTGGAGAGAGCCTGGGCTTTGAAGTCAAAGCCATCAGGTCAGGTCTGGCAAAGATGTGGCCCTCATGCCATGTCTCCCCCACCTACTCGCATGACAGACATTACTAATTGATCCCAGCACTCCTCTTTTCTCTTGGAGCCTAGAGAGGGCCTTACAATCTTCACTCCAGCACTCTAGGCTGTCAATACCATTGGATAAGATTTGGCATTGTGAAGTGGAACCTGCGAACTGCTTAAGTATTCACTTTGCCACTTACAAATGGTAAGATCCTAACAATTTCCCACACCACTCTACACTGCTGATTTCTCTTACGTAAAAGGCGAATTAAAGCATCAACTCATGTTACCTGCACTTAACTGACATTCAGAGTATACAAAGCAAGGCGCAGGCTATTTAATATTCAAACATGACACAGCCAACCTTGCAGGTAAATGGGAAAGCTTTAGAATTCTGAACCTGCTCACCATTTCTTGCCTCAGATTTAGACTTTTCTTAAATACAGAGTATTTTCCGTATCTAGACAACTGCATGAAGATTTTCTTCTAGTTCCCTCCATGACTTTACATTAGGGCACTGCAACTTTCATATGCATAAGATTTCTTCTGCTGGGTGATATACACTCTGGGGGTATAGAGAACAACATACGGGTACCTTGAGAGATGACATTTCCCCGTTTTCTGTTGACATTCGTACCAAACATTTACATAAGATGTGACTCTATCCTAACAATACCTAGCACTGACTTGTGAGGGTGAAATGAGAACTTCTTTTGGCAAATGCCACACTCTATTAGCTATTTTTAATTCTTAGGAGAAGAACAAGAAATCTGCAGGCATATGTCTCGGATAATTGGTTTCAGAAGGATGGAAAATTGGCTGAAGCTTATTTCACAGAAATGCAAGGAAGGGGAACTAAAGACCACTGTCTCCTCCTTCTGTTCCTCCCTCCTGCAAGACCCTCACAGCTCAGAGTAAAGACCATGAACACGCACTGGCCTCACCTCAGGTCGCAGTCTGTGCCACAAGGTTCGGTAATGGGCGCTGGCTGGGGCAGCCGGTCACATCTTTGATCAGACACCGTAAGCTGATCAGATTCCCGGGTGCAAACAGGTTTTCGCTTCCGCTCCCCTAGGCAAGGAGGAAAAACCTTAGTCAGAGAAAGTAACTTATTCCAGAAACTATTTAGGGACTGGCAAACATTTTCTGTACTGGGTTAAATAGTAACTATTTTTGGTTTTGTGGCCATATGACTTCTGTCACAACTATTCACTTCTGCCATGACAGGGCAAGAGCAGATGCTCATAAATAATATGTAAAAAGGGTATAGCTGTGTTCCAATAAAACTTTATTTATAAAAGCCAGGTAGCAGGCTGGATTTGGCCCACTGGCTATAATTTGCTGGCTCCTAATTAAGACAAAAGGAAATGAGATAAATGATACATAATATGACTACTAAATCTATGTCTCTGGAAAATCAAAGTGGCAGAGCTGATTTTGCTTGGCTTCACACATGTATATAAATCTCTTAGGGAGAGGAAGCCCAACATATCCTGAATCCCTTAAAAAGTTCAACTTGCCCTCCAAAAATAACCAGAAAGATGCAGAGAAAGGAGATCAGAGAATTTATGCAGATAGAAAGTTTTAAAGATTACATGCATTTGGCTGCTTCCAAAGAAAAATAAATAAAAAGAATTAAAATAAAAGTATCTCAAAACCCCAAAACTCAACTGAAAAGTAGATACCTTGGCAGGGTTTGCTGCATGCTTGCCAGGGCCCATGACTATTCCAGTAAAACTGCTGGGGTTTGTCTTCAATTGGAATATTGAAAGAATAGCGCACATCAGGGTTGTATAACTTTCCCACCGACAACACCTAGGATGAGCAGACAAAATGGAGAAGATGTTTGCAGGTCTGGTGACACCACATGGAAGGAAAGGGTCATGGACTCATGGTCAAGTTTTCACCTGAAGCAAAAGTTCCTGTTCAATGCGGTCTGTGGAGTTAATCCTTTCCACTACATTGTCGGACCCGCTATACTCTATCACAGCGTTCCCAACGCGGATTTCCCTTTTGGACATTGTGACAACGAAGTCTCCATTTAGCAAGAATTCACCTTTACTGCTTGATAAAGCTGTAGATGAGAAAAGAGTATTCACTGATTTGCTGCCAATAACTTGCTGCCTGAAATACGAAATAGTGCTCTGAAAGGCAGAGAGTTGGGAGGGCAAAGAATATCTATTTTTCAGTCAGACAGGATGGGCTCAAATCCTAGTTTTGCCACTTGCCAGCTATGTGGCCTTGGGAACTCATTTTCCCTCTCCCCGTCTCCATTTCCTCATCTCTAAAGTGGAGATAAAAACACCCACCCTTGTAATTATATTAATGAAATATAAGGGTTCTAATTAGTGTGGGGTTTGATATACAAGCCCCACATTACAGTATTACAGATAGAAGCAGCAGTCTTATGATTTGAAAATATGTATTAATGAACCGAACATTTACAAAATTGGTTCCCATGCAAATACCCCTATTTTATGTTAGGATTAGTTGAGCCTATTGAATCTTTGTTAGTCTTCTTTGGACAGATATTAGAATCTGAAAATCCATGGCCAACATAATGCTTAAATGTCACTCTTTCAGTCACTCTTTCATCTTAAATGTCACTCAATCAGCCTCCAAGATGGCTCCAATGGTCCTTGCCTCTTGATATTCACATCCTGTGTTGTCCTCTCCCACCTGGAATACTAACTGTGTAATCACTAGGATTTTGAGGAAATGACAGAGTGTGACTTCCAAGGCCAGGTCTCAGGCATTGTGGCTCTACCTTGCTCTTTCTCTGACTTTGGGAGAAGCCAGCTGAGCTGCCATATTGTGAGGTTACCCAAGCAGCCCCTGCTGAGAGGCTTCCTGTAAAGGAATAAAGCCTTTTGCCAACAGCATCTGAATGAGGCATTTGGGAAGTGGACCCGCCAGTCCCAATCAAGCTTTTAGATGTGATCACAGCCCTAAATGAAGTCTTAACTGCCACTTCATGAGAGATCTCAAGCCAGAAACACCCAGTTATGCTGTTTTCAATTTCCTGACATACAGACACTGGAATATAGCACACATTTGTTACTCTAAGCCATTATGTCTTGAGATAATGTGTTATACAGTAAAAGATAATTAATACACCTTCCCAGACCATTCTCTTTAAAACTGCAACCCCCTCCTAATACCAGCACAGATTCCATACTTGCCATCCCACTTCCCACCTTAATTTCCCTCCATAACACTTTGTCTATGCTCTCTCTCCCCAACCAAGAATGTAAGCCCCATGAGGGCAAGGATTTTTGGATCCTTTTATTCACTGCTATATCTCAGCTTCAAAAAGAGCACATGGCACATGATCAATAAATACTTTTTTATTTTAGAAAAATGAATGAATCTACTGCAGATCTTGAAAAAGATGAAACAGTCAGAAAAGCTCATGTTAGAGAACTACTGGAGTCAAGTGTCAAAATATTGGCCAATTGAGAACTTGATGAAATTAGACTGGTTACAAACTTACGAAAAGTAAATAAAATGGACCAAGAAGCTATAATGACAGCTGCTTCAGAAGAAATGATTTATTTATCTAAGTGTCAAGGGAGACTATTAAGAAAGTGAATAAAGCCCCAGAAAGCTTTCATAAAAATGACTCCTTTTCAGGTTTTACTGTTAAATTCCAACTTTAAGCAAAGAAGGCACTACTCTGCTATCACATAATTTAACTGGAAAACTCAGGTAAGAATATTTATTAATTGCATTATCCTATAATCTAAAAACCCGTGCATGGTTGACATGAAAACATAATTTTGTTTACTATAAGAAAAAACAATCTATTTTCATGCTTTTTGATGAATTTCTCCCGATAAAATCCTAATCATATCTTTCCCCCCTAGTATTTATTATAAATTTTGGTTTTATTGTGAGTACCACTTAGTTTTTTTTTCAGTACTACCACTCCTTGAAGAATGAATCCTCCTGAGTATTGGGCTTGACATGAACAAGAACTCAATAAATCAGAGCTATTAAATAAACATTTGGGCCCTGAACGAAGTATCAGAAAAAGGCCCTCTTACCTTTTGTAAGTTGCTCACAATTAGCAAATCTCAGTAGGGAGAGAACCCTGAAATGCACAGGCCATGTATTTAAGTGAATAAAAGGAATGTGGAAACTTAACTCGAGTGGCAAACAGGTGTCATCCCAGGTGCCAACGTCAACCAACTGGTCCTACGCAGAGCGTAAATCGTTGGCGGCATCATGCCTCAGCATCATGTTAGTGATATTGGTCTTGGTTGCGGGATAGGGAGCCAAGATGCCTGAGGTGTGTGCCAGATCCTAACCCGTCTTTCACTGATGCAGGTGATATCCTGTCTCTTACCAGGCAGGCCAGAAGAGGTTTAGAGGACTTAGGGAAAGTCGGTATTGTCCCCTTATGTGGAGATGACTGAGGGCTGAGGAAGCTTTGAATACTCTTAGTGGCTCAGTAGCAGCAGGGTTCTTGTTTTCTTGGACATGGCCACCTCACAGAGCTCACTCATTTGGACACTATACTGATGGAAGTACTAGTCTTTCTAGGATCGGTAATTAAGGGCACTGAATTCTGTCCCTAATCCAGCACTTCACTCATACCCACTCATGTAAGCTCCATTTCGATCTTGAGGGAAAAATGAGATGCCTTCATTTGAAATGGTTGGGAAGAATGTGGCAGCAGGGAAAAAGCTTTTAAAAACACAAACCCTCCAAAATCTTAGATGCTGCTTCTTAACTCAAAATCCTTTGATAGCCACCCCCCGACCTATACAATTGACTTCAAACTCCTTAGCGTAATCTTCCCAGCCTTCGCATTCACTCCCACCAATAAACCTCAATTCCCAGTCATTTATATCACCATGCCAGCCATACCTTTTCCTACATTGAGGCAGGAAAGTGAAGTGATTAAGGGCGTAGGGTCTGAAGTCAGACCAATAACGATTCCAACTCTTCCGACTTGCTGACAAGTTTATGTGACCTTGGGTAAGTTATGGAACCTCTCTCAGCCTCAGTTCCTTTCTCTAGATAACGAGTTTCCTACTGGATTGTTCCGAACATTACACAAGACAGTGCATATGGGCTGTGGTTGCTGGCCGCTCATAATGTCTTCATATGCACTGTCTCTTTGCCACACCTTCACAGTTGTCTAATTTAGGGATGAGCAAGGCATGACTTAAATATTATTAAAATACTCTCCCAAGGCCAGGTGGCTTCCACTCACGGGAAGTCTGTCTCCAGAGCCTGTTAACCACTAAAGTTTTCTAAGAACGAGGTCAACAAGCACCTGTTCAATGAGTGAATGAATTCATGCATGCTTTCTCTTATACGCAAGTTGAAATCAAATTCGTTTAGCTCAAGATTTTTAACAGTTTAAGTCATTTGTTTTTCTAGACTACGTGAGCCTCTTTAGGAAAGCGACCATTTGAAAATGCACTTTTGTAACCCCAAGAAAGATCCCAGCCCATAGTAGGTGCTCAATCAATGACACTGAAAGAAGGAGTGATTGATTGGACCTGACATTTATGACAAGGAGAACAGAATGCTTCCAGCCAAATAACTGTTTCCCTGTCAGTGTAAAGCTCTGACAACCTTGTTTCCCCTACGGCCGCTGTAGCGTGAGACCCACCAGCCATGCGAGAGGCAGGACTTTCAATGGGTCACTGACTGGAGGCGAGGTTGTTTCGGTGGCCCCTCAGACATCCTGAGGCTGCCTTCTAATGTGGGTCACTTACATGGTGACAGCCGGACATGCTGCCAACACAATCACCCACTTCTTTCAAGTGAGGTCGCATGCTAGCTACCCAGCTGACATTTCACCAAAACGGGGGAAATGAGATGTCACAAGACTTGCCCTGCAAATTAAGTGATAATCCAGTTTTGTGCGCATTCAAAGAGCAATCGTCTGTTGTAGGTTAATTCTGGGGCTCCTTTCCAACGTCTCCCGGCTTCCTCTCGGGCTTATGCCAACTAGGGGCATTTTACCCTTCTCTGCATGCTCCCTCTCCCGGTAGATGGTCAGGAGGGAAGGAGAAAGGAGTCATCAGGGGAAATGAACTTCGTGATTTATCCCAAACTGAATGGACTCCTGTCTTCCCATTGCCACAATTAATCAAGAGCTAAGTGTACTGGAGACAAAGAAGTACCGCAGAAATGGATCTTTTTTCTCCTAAAGAAACACGAACATGGTGGCTCTAGGTGCAACTTGGCTTTAACCCAACAGGAGGGAGGGCCTGTGTGAAAGGATGGCCTTTGACAGGGAGGCTTTCTGCTTTGATATCTTGTGAAACAAATAGTTTCCTGCAAAAGACAGTCTACTGCCCAACCTTCCACTAACGCGATTAGGGGAGCTAATTTCCTGGGTTGGTCCCCCGCCCCCCCCATTTCACCCATCAGAGCTGGGTTGCTACAAAGGCCTTCTCTCCTGGAAATTGCTCCCTCACCAGCACATGCAGAAAGACTGTGGCTTGACTGGCCTTTAAAAAAAATGGGACGGACAAGGATGAAGATGCCTTAGCAACGGAACAGCTGTGGGTGTGAAAAACCCTCTTAGAGCATTTGCTGCAGCTCTTTCAAGCCAAGAGTAAATGTTTATGCACCTCGGGTTTGATGATGTCATATTCTTCCTCACTTGTTAAGAAGCCACTGTTAAGGCTCAAAGGCCCTGAGGTCTCGACCTTCACACTCAGTGAACTGTGACTGGCCATCTATGCTTTTGCACTCTCTGCATTTGCTTCCAGAGAGTTGTTCTTTTGCCAACAGGTGACTTTACTATAATAGTCCACTAAAGGGCCATGACTACCCCAGACTGCCTCTCCCAGGTGACAAATCTTCTTTAATTTTGCTTTCATTCTTTCCAAGGAGATTAAGAAACCTCCCGTGAGGAATAAAAGGTTATCAGGAGGCCCTGCCCAATTCAGGTGCCTGGCCTGGTTGATGAAGTTGAACTGAACTGAGGCCCCTACTTAGAAAGAGATTTTTCCAAGAAGGAGCAGAAGAGAGGAGAATCCTTCTCCCTTTCAAGGAGAAGAAAGAAGCAGGTCAGCATGGCTTTCAGCTTTCAGGAAATTAATTAATAAAGGAGGTTGCATGCAATGCTGCTGGATTTAATTAGGAAGTAGTAAGGCCATAGCGACAGCCACATGTTCAAATTTATAACCCAGGGCACGCAGAAAAATGCCAGACCTATTTTTCTCAGTGGTGGAATGCGAAATGTGGGATTCCCAAAAAATAATTTTGCAAAGGGCCCTCAAGAACTCTGTTAATTCTTTTATAAAGTCACCACCCATTTGGATATAGAGGGTAGGGAAAAGCTGATCCAGCCACTGAGTAAATGATTCTAAGTAAGATTCTGTGGTCTTTCAAAGAAAGGACGATTTTGTTTATTTCCATGGTAATCTCATCCCCCACTAAGCACATAGTAAATCCTCAGTAAAGAGGACATGAGCAGTGGCTGTTCAACAGCTGAGCAATTATTTACTTAGCACATATATGTGTACGATTTATATCAAGAGCTGAAGATATAAAGACACAGCCTCTGACCTTAAGACAATGGGGCGCTTGGGTGGCTCATTCGGTTAAGCATCTGCCTTTGGCTCAGGTCATGATGTCAGGGTCCTGGGATCGAGCCCCGCGTCGGGCTCCCTGCTCAGCGAGGAGTCTGCTTCTCCCTCTCCCTCTGTCCCTTCCCTCCCCTTGTGTTGTCTCTCTCTCTCAAATAAATAAATAAAATCTTAAAAAAAAAAAGACACTAGCAGCCATATGGATAAATAAGGAACAAATTGTCTCATCTCAGGTCACGGCAGCTCCATCTTCTCAGCTGCTCAGGTAGAAATCTTGGGGTCACCCCTGACTTCTTTCTTTCTCTCACATACCATATTCAACCTATCAAAAAATCATGATGATTCCACCTTCAAAAAATATCCAGATTTTGACCATGTACTGTCACCTCCGCTGCTCCTACTTGGGGTCAAGCCACCAGCATCTCTCCCTTGGCTTACTGCAATAATTTCTAACCAGTCCTCCTGCATCGACTCTGTGCCCTTCGTCCACCTAACAGCCAAAGTGCTCCTTTGAAAATACAAATGTGATTATATCCTGTTATTCCTCGGCTCAAAATCTTCAGTAGCTCGCCCTATCTCCCAGAGTACAAGCAAGTCTTTTCAGTGCTTATAGGGCTCTATATGATCTACTCCTAATAGATGATCAGCCTCCTCTAGAACTCTCCTCTATGCTGATGTAGCTGCAGCCACATGGGCCTATTCCCCTATTGCTGGAATAATCTAGACATGCTCCTACTTCAAGGATTTTGCACTGGCCGTTCCCTCTGCCTGGAATGCTCTTCCCCCAATCAACCTGTTTTCTCTTGCTACAGTTCCAACACTTCACCTCCACTGTTCCCAACTCACCCTCAGTATCCCAATTTCCCTTATGATGTTCTGTTTTCTGATAGAACTTACCATCCTCTAACAGTATACAGTTGGCTGATCTATTAAGCTATTGCTTACTGTCTCTCTACTAGCACCAAAAAGTAAGTTCCAAGAAGACAGTGATTTTTAACTTACTTATTTATTTTTGTTCTGCTCATTGTACCTAGAAGAGTGCCTGGCCCATATTAAAGAAGTGAATGAGTGAAAAATGACATACTGCAGAAAATGCTATAATGAAGTCATATACACATATTACACTTGATCAGCATGCTTGGCTAATGGATCATTGTCTAGCTATCAAGGATTTCATGTAGACATTCCAAAATACAGACTCTGATTCTAATCTGATTCAATGAATACTCACTGACTAGTTCATTATGTCCAAATATGTGCAGATAGCCGCTACAGAGGCTGACTTCAGATACATAAATAGAGTTCTTGCCTGGACATTGTAAGAGGACAAGTATATTCATTTCTTTTAAAAAGTCACTGCCCAGTCAGACCGCTGTGATTTCTTGTAGATCAGAGTGCAAGCCGTGCTGCTCTCCATGGCTAGGAGGAGTCTGGTTGTGCAAGGTGACCAGCTGAATCCCTTCAGTCATGACCCCACTCCCTTTGTCCTTCTTTTAATTAAAAATGGTTGGGAAATTTCATAATCACAGCGGTTTACAGAAGGAGAAGTTGACGTGGGACCAGGCTGAGCCAACTGTTGAAATGAACACAGGGTTGACGGTGTGTTGTGGTTTAAACAGAAGGCATAGATAGGAATTAATTATGTGCCTGGACATGAGACAAGGATGAAGAATCCATAAAGTAACAAGGTGGGCCATTCTAGTCATGACCTGAGAAAAATTTGCCACTCTAGAACCTTTTGGAGTAACCAGGCATGATGAAAGGTTGAATGAGTCCACCAGTGGTCTGTTATTGGTTAGGGCTGGCACCACAGAAATTAGGGCAAGTAATATCTTTAATAAAGCATTTGCTAGCCAGTTACCCACAGGACAGATTGTTGTTGTTGTTGTTGAAGACTCAAAGAGAACAATGATTTTTATGCGGAACTTACACGGTAAGTGCTTTCAAAATTTGATGTAGGGCCTTCCAATTTATTATGATCCAGAATAAACCCCTGCTACTGACTTCGGTAACTACATGACTCTTCCAACAACACTCTGAGGTTACACACATGAGGGAGAAATAAAAGAATGAATTTCAAGATCAACTACTTGTACGGAAGTACAGGGCATCCAACAGCTCTCCGTGCGCACATGGGGGAAGGAAGGAACATCTGCTAACAGCTCCAGAGAAGTAGAATTCCTACCAGTGGCAGGGGACGTGCCATCTTACCTAAGTAGTTATCATCCTCTGATTTCCCTGAGAAACTGTGCTGTCTCACATCGATATTGGTAGCACCTGCTGGAATTCGGACCACAGTATTGTAACCTGCAAAGAATTTAGCCACAATTCAGTATTCCACAACACAGTTCAGTTACTCTGGGTACGGACTAAAAGGTGCGCAACAAAGGAATATAATCCAATTCCGGCTATTAAGTGTCTTCTAGCCAGATGGGTAATGTACCTTAACAAGACTGATTTTATGCTTGACATGAATACTTTGACCTCTTACCTGTGGTTAACAACTTTTAAACTTTGACCATTTTCCCTCTCATGGTTCTTTAGGAACAGATTCTTACCATAATGTACTGTATTAAATGTTCCTGCCACTGTTTTGCACGAAGAATTATCGCCACCACAAACTCCACATTTATCTCTCCGGGCTTTGGAATTTAAAATGTGATCACATCCAGCTTGCTTTTAAAAAAAGAAACATTTGAAAGAAATGGTAAGTATTATAAAATCACAAAAAGTATTAAAAAATATGACATGGCAGTTAGCATGTTTCTTTGAATTATGCATTCAAAAATGACAAGAAAGTCTTTTTAAAGTTGCAAGGGTTGAGAACTCAAATTATCTATAGCCCTGGTACAGAAAACGTGGTCCTGAGACAGGTAGCCATAAGCATCTCTGATGCTGTTAGGAATGCATAATCTCGGGCTCCACCCAGATCCACCGGGTGGGTCTCTGGCGTGTTAGCAAGATCCTTATCTCTTCATCTACAGACTAAAGTTTGAGAAGTATGGGGGCGCCTGGCTGGCCAGTTGGTAGAGCGTGTGACTCTTGATCTCGGGGCTGTAAGTTCGAGACCCATGTTGGGTGTGGAGATGACTTGAAAATAAAATCTTAAAAAAAAAAATCAAGCTTGAGAAGTCTAAGTCTACAAATAAGTGGGATAAATGAGAAGAATTGCTCAGGAATGAAAAAAAAAAAAGGAGTGGTGGGGGGGCGCTGTATCCAATTAAAGAGCTGACATCCCATCTGAAGGGAGCAACCTCTGTCCACTCTAGGCTCTCGCCACCACGCAGAAATAGGAGCCCCATGTTGACATTTCTCAATCTTTCAAGAGAAACTGGAAAATTGGATTTTATGTGAAATCCCCTATGTTTAAATACTGGCTATGAATGGAGGACAAAGCATGCCTCCAGGCTGCCAGTGTAAGGCCTGAGGCTCCAAGTGGCCTCTGGAATTTCACCACATCTTAATGCAATGCAGCAGTGTTGACGGAGGTCTGCGAAGGACACGAGCAACGACCAGAACACCAGGACAGAGTTCACATTCTTGTCCACGCTGCTCCTTTGTGTGAACTAGCCTTTGAGGAGCTCAATGTTCTGCTACGAACAGACTGACGAGGAAATGTGCGCTGTAGTTTTGAGTCGGGAAGTGGGTGAAAGCTCTCAGGAGCCCTTTCCATCAAATCGTACTGACTAGGATTTCCATTTTCCTGGACCACATGCAGGGATCAAATAAATTACCTCAAAGCCGGGCTACATTAAGAATGTTTTCTGATGGGTGAGAGCAGGGAAATGGTATCATGCCCTCTAGAAATCACTGCACGAATGCTTTACTATCAGCCAGAAGTTTCTCGATTTCCTTTCCGAGAGGGATTAACAGCTATGTCTCCGGTAGAAGCTTTCATGCTTGAGATCAGAATGAGAAATCCGACGGAGGCCCGACTAGAATCTGATGCCTCTAGACATCTTCCTGGAGCAGAACTATCGAATCTAGAAAACTTGCTGTATGGAAGCATTTGGGTTTAACCTTAAGCACCGAGGTTACAGTAAAGGAGGGTGTGTATGCACAAATTATTATAATAAATTTTCACAGGGAGGTTTTGCGCAGATCCTCACAGAGCTTGAGAATGTCAGAAAAATGCAGGACACTGGTTCTCAAACTTGGGCATCAGCATCAGGTGATGCCATTGCTGATGCTGCCCTGGGAAACACACTTTGAAAACCACTTCCCTGGAGACAGTGCACAGACGTTAGCCGCCGCTGGTTCTAGCAAGGAAGCCACAAACCACAGCGCGGCAGCAGGACCACACAGTGAAGGAAACGCACCCGGGACTTACCCGGCAGAGGCCTTGGACACAGATATCGCTGGTGTCCTGGCCGCACGGAGTCCCATCGACCACCCTGTCTCGCAGTTGATAGTAGGCCGTGTTACCAGCCACCCTGCAGAACAACTTGCAACGGTCCTTCATCAGAACTAGAGAGGAAAAACACGCCACAGTGTGACTTGTGGGCCCGCACCCCGCGCCAGCCTGCCCACCATCCTCGGACGCCTCCCCGGATGCACTTACTGCCACTGTACTTGGGGACCCAGCGCACATTGGGAAGCAGACCGTTGATGTTGAAATGTTTGCCGTCAAAGTGAGCACACTGTTCGTCTCGGAAATCTCGCTTCTGCTTGAGACACGGCTCTGTGTTGCAGGACTTGAACTTCATTCTACGCCCTACACAGTACTTCCCACCGTTTCTCGGCCTGGAGTAAGAAAGGGAAAGAACACACACACTGGATAACAAGGCATTTCTCCCCACATCACTCTCTCCTCCGTGGCTTCCTGTCTTCTAGGGTAAGCGAGTCTAAAGTGGCTGACGACAAGGGACAGCACAAAGGCTCTGCAATCTGCATTTGCATTCTGCCTTCACACCATTAAGTATATGACTTTGGGCAAGTCACTTCACCTCCACAAGACTTCGCCCCTCCGTCTGTAAAAATGGGAAGGCACCACCGAGTAAGGCTGTCTTGAGGATGGAATGTTAGAGTTTGAAATACAAAACCTGGGATCTATCAGGCAAGGATCTGTCCTCTTTCTCCTGAAAATTCAGTCTTCTGGTTTTCAAAACGTGGAAGGTAAAAGGTATGGAGGAGTAGCTGGAAGCTCCCCGTCTACTTTTTTTTTTTTTAAAGATTTTATTTATTTATTTGAGAGAGAGAGAATGAGAGACAGAGAGCATGAGAGGGAGGAGGGTCAGAGGGAGAAGCAGACTCCCCGCTGAGCAGGGAGCCCCATGCGGGACTTGATCCCGGGACTCCAGGATCATGACCTGAGCCGAAGGCAGTCGCCCAACCAACTGAGCCACCCAGGTGCCCGCTCCCAGTCTACTTTTTATAACATGATATTCTCACAGAGGACCAGCCTCACACTTGTGCTATTCTACTTCCATTCAATTTCTCCCTCCTCTCTCTCTCTCTCCCCCCTCACAACCATTGTTTTTCTTTGTTTTGTTTTACAAATGAGATGGAGTAAAAGGAACATCCCCATATTTTGACTAACCTAATAGGAGAATCATGAGGAGCATACTGGTTTCATTAACTTTTGTGTGAGGAGAGGACATAGTAAGCTTGCCCAGCCTCACAGTGCAAATTCCATCTCGGCATGCAATTATAGGAAATTCAAATGTACATGTATTTTCCAGATGGGATCCAGCGAGTCAATTATATGACACCTCTCCTAGCAGTCCACAGCTTGCCAAATTCATCATGGAAATGGGAAGATCACAGAATCAGAGGAAGTTGGGCTCACCCACCCAGGGCTGAAGCAGCCCGGGTTTCACAGTTACCCTAGGACATCTCTGAAAGAAAGTTTTCCACTTTTCTTCTTTAAAATGAATCTTTCGGAGTCACTGGAACCATACAAAGTGGTCTGTTTTGTTTTGTTTTGTTTTGTTTTGTGAAACCAGGACTTGGGGGAATGGGACATATATCCATGTCCATAAAGTACAGAACGAGAGCCAGTCCAGCAGGACAGAGAAGGCGCTGGAGCTGGGTTCCAGTCTCAACTCTATCCTCCTTGTGTCACCTTAGATGAAGTTCTCAGCCTCCCTGAACATCAGTTGCCCCTTTTCTAAAATGAGCACACACAGTAGATGCTGAAAATGTTAGCTACTATGTTAATATGTCAGCAATATGTCCCAATCTAATCTGATCCAATTGAGCAGTTTGAGTACCGAATTTGCACTAAGATATGGGGCAGGTCTCAATACTTCTGCAGAGTGCCCAAGGCTCAGGACAGGGCACTGGTCGTGATACTGTTGCAACGTGCTCCCTAGATAAAAGATGTATAGACAAAGGCAAGAACATGGGCCTTGTAGCTACACACTGGACACCTCTGTGTCTGCCACCTGGTCTCTCTGAGCTCCATCCTGCACAATGGAGACAGAGATGATACTGTGCACCTGAAAAGCTCATTATGGATCTGAGAAGCTTAGTAAGCGTCTGATAAATACTGTTACTTATCACGAAGAAAACTATATCTAGGGATACAAAATGACACGTAACCTCCCACCATCTGTCTGATTGTTTCTCCATGAAACACAACTAAGCCCATGTGTTTTACAGCTGCATTGTGCACTCAACTCGCTAAACCACACTCATATTTTGTCCAAGGGTAAGGCAGATGTAGTACTTTTATACCAAGGGACAGAAGGTTCGGAGAAGTCAAGTACTTTGTCATGGTCCACACAGCTAGTAAAGGAGCAGAGATAGGACTAACATTCCAAGTTTCCCAGGTTCTTTCTTTCCCTGTGCTCTCTTGCTACATTATCCAGGAACTATGGTCCAGAGTTTTTTTTTTTTTTCTTTTTTGGTGCCATTTAGAGATAGAACCTTGGTGTCCTGGATTCTAAGTTCTTCTCTAAGTACCAAGACACCCTAGTCTCATGCATAAAATATCACAGATTACATGTGAGTAATAGATCAGGCCCATATACCTGTTCAGGTGAAACTTGCCTTAAACGTGCTACAAGGAAGACCTCCTTCAATTTTTCCTCAGATTGAAATGATCTTTGTGGACTCTTTCTAAAGGGCCCAACTAACGATGGAGGATCAATCACTTATTTATTGCCTGAAAGTAACTCATTTTTCTTTCTTTTTGAAATTAAATTCTCAACAGTTGATTTTTTCCTTTTGGCTCTCTTATATAAGAAGTCTTAACTCACTCCTGAAATTGCCCAAATGCAGCAGTTCCTTGGACTGCGAATCATAAATACTCAGAGGCAGCTTCCCTTTGGATGGCAACGATTTCCACCTTGGCTCGCTTTTGCCCACTATCAAGTGGCAAACAGCATTTAGTGACTTCCTTTTTCCTTTTATAAATGGCATTTTTAATAAACAACACACAGAAAACACTCCATGTGAGAGGCAGTATTGTGGAGGGTCATCGATAGGGACTCTGGAAACGGAGGGTTTGAATCCCAGGCCTGCCTCTTAATAATGGTGCAATCTTAGGCAAGTAGCTGAATCTAAGACTCAGTTTCCCCATCTGTAAAAGGGAGACGATGCTAAGATCTACTTCATCGGAATGAGTGAGGGTCAGCTGGGTTAATCCATTCAAACCACTGGAATAAGGCCTGCCACACAGTAAATGTGTAACTATTACAAGGGTCTGCCAACTCCAGCCTGTGGACCAAATCCTGCCTCCTGCCTGTTCTTACATGGCTGGGAGGTAACAATGGTTTTTACATTTTAAAAAATTAAGAAAAAATAAAACACATATTTTGAGACACCTAAGAATTAGATGAAATTCAAATTTCAGTGTCCATAAATAAGGTTTAATTGGCATATAGCCACACCCCCTCATCCCATGTTGCCCGTGTATGTTTCCCACTCTATCGGCAAGGTTGAATAGTTGGGTCAGAGATCCTATGATCCACAAGTCTAAAATATTTACTGAGTCTTTTATGGAAAAATATTCCTTTACAGTAAAGGTGTGTCCACTCCTGAGCCACTCCTGTGTACAAGGCCCCAAGCCACTTTGTATGACCGTGCCCAGCCATGCTGTGAGGTAGGGAGTGGCACTCTTGTTTCTGAATGTTTGTTAATGGGGTTCAGAAACGTTAAGTAACCTGACCAGGTGACATGCTCATTAAGTGAGAAATGCCAGCTGGCAGACCAGCGTAGGTCTCCCTGACCCAAAGCTTATGATCTGGTGTCTTTCCTACGCTGCCTTTCTTGAGATAGGCTTCTTTCCGTATCAACACTCCTTCTGTGACTTTACTTGCTTTTTATGTAAAACAGATTACACTTTATTAATAAACACAAATTTGCCCTTTCAAAATATATGGCTTTTCTCTTATCCCAAAGCATCTCTCCCTGATTTGCAAGGACCGTGTAATGGGGAAGGCTATAGTCAAATGAACTTACCTTTCAGCATGGAAAAAATTCATGTTATAGTTTAATAATTTAGCTGGGTAGGAGTATTTTTTCCACATAGACAAATAATAAAAATTATAAGAAATACAGCTTTAAAAATATTAATCATATTTTCCAACTATTAAGATCCTTTAAAAAAACTTCATGTCAAGTAGGGATGGAAAGGACTTACAGAAACTGCCAGATTAATTACAATGAAAGTAACTATATTCAGCACAGCCAAGCTGAATCCTTCTTTCAAGTGCACATTACACAACCATGCCTATTAACATACAAAGACAACTCATGATACTACATGGCCAAAGCTACAGAGGCGGTTTTGCAAAGATCATCACAGGTGTATTCCACCCTCAAGGAAAGCTAAACTTTGGTCTGCAAATGGGTTTGAAATCTCAACTTCTGTCTGTACTTAAAATGTACTTAAAATGAATTGGAGCAGGCAGATTAGGGTTAGCACAAGGAAGGAATTTCTAATGATAGGACAGGCAGCCCCAGAAGGTAGTGTGTTTCCTGTGCGTGGAGGGTTTTGAGAAAGGATCTAATGGCAATTGCCGAGGATGCTGAAAAGCTCTTCAAGGATTAGATGGGATAAGCCAGAGAGCTGTCCTTGTGATCATTAATGACCCTTCCAAATGGAGCGGTCTATAGGCCTGGATAGCTTTATTCATTCATTAGTTAGTGGCTCTCCCAAAGAAACCAATTTTTGAATTTTGAAATAAGCTTATCCAACTCAGTGCCTCAAAAAGAAAACTTTCTTGCAATTCTTTATAGCCAAATGATGAAATAGACACACGTCTATTACCTTGTTGGTCAGATTTCATAAGCAGTTACTATGGTGAAAGCCTGAGTGGGAAAATATCTACTTCACAATCTTTTTCTCAAATCTATGAGTTTATTAGTTTTTAAATACCTCCTAATTTAAAAGTAAAATAGAAGCACCAGAAGAGGGAAAGCTTTGTCTTTTCCAAAGAACTGGCATGGTTTTTTATTTTTGATGGACCTGTAAAAATTCTATAAACTTTTGTTCTAGCCACCAAGAAGCTCAGAGTCAATGTAGAGCACAAAATAACAAGGATAGGGCCCAAGGGCCTGATAATGCATCTTCTAGTTCCAATGCTGACCTTGTTTTGGTACTCTAAGTTATGTTTTTGGTGGTTCTGGTTTTAGATTTTACTGTATTACATGTTTCTTACAGATTGGGTGATCATGTAATTAATTGTCCAACCCAGGACAATTAGAGAAAGTGAAGGGTAGCTATTAATAACTTCTCCTGACAATAGATGTGAACTCGGACTGTCTTTACAGATCAGAACATATGCTCATCTTATCTATAGGGCATGGGTCATAAATGGGATTAAAAAACAAATAAAACATTAAAAGACAAAACAATGATGCCCCATTCTCATGATGGCAAATCAGTAGCATTACATACTGGTTGAGATCAAAAACCATTTGACCAAAATCAGAAAGCATCTGGTTTCTACAGCTTGCTCACAAAGACACCAGAGTCCCATGTGTATGGCAAGGCTACTTCTCTTTTGTAGCTTTAATGCTTTCAGGGGGAAAAAAAAAAAACAAAACAAAAAAACCAAAAAATGCCACATGAAGTGTCTGGATGCTAAATACATCCTTGAACTGCATGAATACTGTGAAAAAAAATAAAAACAATCCAGCATTCTTAATAGAGACATACCTTGGATACTAAAAATGGGGCTCTACATTATATTCAAAGGGCTCCTCAAACTGGGAAAAGGCAGGTTGCCAGTGACGGGGCCACCACTCCCCTCAAATTCCTTGAGAATCAGAAGCAACCCCTTCTGTGTTCTGCATAATGAACCATCTGCTCCGTGAATTTCTCTGCACAGGCTTTTAAACTGAGATTTGGATCTGATTTTCCCTTTCCTGTGTCCCTTTCTCTTGTCAAACTGACTTCCCCACCACTGCCATTGTAAACTTAAAGTTTTCTGAGGCAGACTCCTTCCTCAATTCACAGGGACATCCCAAAGAGCAAATAACTTGGAAGAGCTTTAATGAAATGATGTCAGGGCTGACACTCAACTAGGTGGATTGTATTCTTTTAAAACCTCCCATAGCAAACAGCAAGGACAAGGACCTCTAATTGAAGTCTTTAATGATCAGTTCCTAACTTCTGAATGTGAGGATCTTTGCTTTACTTTGAAGCTCAAGATACTTTCCTGCTGAGATCTTTACACTGGGTGATTTTCTTTGTCTGGCTCATTCCAATTATGGAGTGATTTATCTCTCTCCACTTTCCACATTACCTCTAGAACTGCTCTAAGACTTAAAAAAAAAAAAAAAAGACCAAACACTTCTTTTGAATGAAGTATTCTTGGGTCACAATTTCAAAAATGTCCACTTGTTGGCAATATTCATATCCTTATGACAATAACAGCTCACTGTAATAATAATAATTTGGCTCATCGTAGCCACCAAATAGTTTTTAATTTTTAAAAAGTGTGTCATATTTGCTATTAGCTTAAAATGCTTTATTTTAAAGCTTCAACAATACAAACAGCTAGGATTTATAATGGACTTTAAAAAGCAAGTTGTGGAACACTATGTATAGTATGATCCTTATTTTGTATTACAGAATACTTATTTCATATACTACATATTACATGACAAATCTTTTTTAAAAGTCCAAAGTGATACATATCAAATCATTTTTCCCTGGTTATTTCCTCGTGGGGAGTAGGTCAGAGGTAGGAACAATGATGACAGAAATTTTTTATATCATATAGTTTTGTGTCTGGATTTTTTGAAGGCATGTACTATATTTATACTATTATTTAAACAACTACCACAAAATACTTTATTAATACTCTATTAATACTCTAATGTTTTGTGTTTATACCCATAGTTACAGACTAGAGTCTATGTCTTATAGCTCTTTAATTATCTTTGTAGAGGTTAATATCACGTGGACATGATATTACATGTTGGACTGCGAGCAAAAATAAATGAAAATAAATAGATCATCATCTGTGATTTGTACTAATGAGTATTTATTAGGCCGGGGCTTACAACGGTGGCCTAAAGCTATGCTCTTTTTTGGTTAACACGATTCATATTTTTTCTTACAAAAAAACTGGAAGCTCTGTCAACACTAGGCCCTTTTCCTACCTGTGAACAACCAGCTAGGTCTGAGTAGCACCCTGCACTTCGTCTCGACTACCCTGCCAGACAACCTTATTATACTGTATCAACCCGCTTCCCTGTTTTACCTGCTTGTTTCGGTCTACAATTCAGTCTGCTACCCCTAATGTAGGCTGTGAAACATAAATGAGTACTGTGCATGAAATCACTTTACATAATCCCAAAACAACTGGGTCTTAAATATGGCTATTGGTTTATACATCTAAAATCTATCCCTATTCTATGAAGACTTCTTGGTTCTCCAGCCTATATACATTCAATGGCAATAATATCACGTATTATCTTCTGTCCCTTTAGATTTGCTACACCTTAGATCCATACAAAATTTGATGTCATTCCTTACGGTAAAATTATGATTTCTTAAATCTCCTTATAAACACACATGTCTACTGTGATAGATGCTAGGAAAAAACCCCATCAACTTCATTTGAGAACATGTACTAAGGCTAGGCTAGTAAAGACAGCCATAGTCATATAATGAGAATTATCCCGAAAAGCAGGATGCTCCCAATCTGTACACTGTCTGGTCGTGGGATGGACTTTAGGTGTCTCACCTGTAAAACAACTAGCTTGATTCCAAAACTAATTCCTGACTTGGGGCTCCTAGTCACTTAGGCTCTGCTAATGCCGCCCTGGGGGGTCTGTGTGCCCTTTTTGGCATTTTAGTAGTTAACTGGAAAGGCAACAAGACACCTACAATCTGGATAGAAATGTCCAATCTCTTGATTTCCTCAAGAAAATCCATCTGTTCACTTTGTTAGCCTACTATACCAAGCTCGGCAGGCAGTGAGATATGCCTGAATATCAACTTGTTAAACAGACCAACCGATACAACAGCATCTACGGTTTGGAAGACGGTACTTTTTTTTTTTTTTTTAAGATTTTATTTATTTATTTGTCAGAGAGAGAGAGCCAAGCAGGGGGAGAGACAGGCAGAGGGAGAAGCAGGCTTCCCGCCAAACAGGGAGCCTGATGTGGGACTCGATCCCAGGACCCTGGGATCATGACCTGAGCTGTAGGCAGACGCTTAACAGACTGAGCCACCCGGGCGCCCAAAGGTAGACAGAACTTTTAATAAAGGACCACGGGAGGAAACAGACTACAGGAGACGGTGCCTGGGAAGAAAGAGATGGGATATTATCGGTCTAGGCAACCCTAGAAATCCACTGCCTCTCGAACTGGGAAAGAGCTCTCCATCTGCCTCCAGCTAAATCATTCCCTTCTGGAATGTGCCACTCATGCTCTCCCGATAATGACGGCAAGAAGTTCTAGGACTTACTCCGGTCTGTTACACTCACGAACAGCAGTTTTGATGCCCCCTCCACACGTTCTTGAGCAGGTTCCAAAGTGACTCCAACTTCCCCAGGATCCATCAGTCACGGGGGCCTCCATTTCTTTGGGGACACAAAATCCAAACTTGCAGTGCTGTATTTAATAAGGGGAACAGTGAGGGAGAGCTCGGTGCTGGAGACATCATAGGACCCGCTGTCCTTTTGAGTATATACCATACTTCATGTCCCCCCCTCCCAACCCCACCATGTGCTGGTTTGAAATGCTGCCATTTCATCATCTATATGAATAATGGAAACAGTAGGGATTTTAATGTCGTACTTATGGATTTTAGGTTCTGTCTTCATTTACCACTTGCTTGAATAAAACCAGCCAATGAGTGGTTGGCTCCAGGCAGTCAGGCTAACTCCAGTGGCCGGCTTCAAAGTGCTCAATTAGTCTACTTGGAAAAATGAGGAGAGGAAGTGGGCAGACTGGTTGTAGACGGGGCCAACACGAATTCCTGAATTCCTGGATTTGTAGAGCGAATCTCCATTAAGAAGGCTCAGAGACATTGTGAGCCTGGTAAAATATGTTTTATTGCTCCCCGCGGATTTGAAAAGCCAATTTTAATTAGGTGGGAGAGAAAAAAAAAAAGCAAGTTACGTGATTCCTATAAACTCACTCCACCAAAGCACACAGGATGAGATGAGAGCAAAATGGACATATTACAGAGAGCCCTAAACTTTATGGCTTTTTTGTTACTAATGGTTTCAGATTCTCCAGCCTACAGCAGGAAGAAGGCCATGATGCTTAAGACAAAACAAAACAGAATAAAACTCCTCAGCAGGACAAGGGATTCGAGAAGCCCATTTCAACCCTCTGCCATTGTTGGGGAGTGAGGCCCTGACACAAAGCCGAGGTCACTGAGCAGCGGACAAAGGCAGAGTAGAGGCAGTGACCGCAGGAGGGTGATGCCCCTCGGCTCACTCAGATCTCTCAAGTGGAGCTGACGGTGGCCGCCGGCCGTGATTTATCTGCAGGGAGGGCAGAGGCAGAGGCAGAGGCCCACAGCAGCCGGGGTGGAGGGGGGAGTGTGCTGGGAAAGTGGACAGCACATAAGATGCAGGGGAAGGTCCCCAACTCAAGGGGCAGCCACACAGAAGGCTCGGGTGAACGATCATTCAGAGAGCGCAATTACGCTTTCTCTATTTTGCAGCGCCCTCTCTCTTGCAATGATTCTCCTGGAGTATCTGTATCCCTTTCCCTGGGCTGTGTGGCTGAGGCTTAAAAGGTTCTGTATTCAAAGATCCTGGGCAACGCCACACCCAAGAAATGTGGGCAGAGGGAGAGGTGATGACATTATTCTCTGACATCCTCTTATATTTGTCTTTACAGAGGTTGTGAACATTTATTGGAACATATGCACGTAAAAATAAATGAGAAAGGTAGTTTAGTCTACAGCAACACCATCCAGTGAGAACGTGCCATAAGCCACATACTTAAAATTTCTTTTAAATGTTTAGAAGCCACATTAAGTAAAGCCACATAAAAGTAAAAAGTAAAAAGAAAATGAAAATTAATTTTAATACCTTTTATTTAGCTCAAAATATCTGAACACTATTATTTCTGTATGGAATCAAGATAAAATTATGGGTTTTTTAAGATTCTTTTTCTCATACTAGGTCTTCAACACCTGGTGTGTATTTTCACTTAAGCACATCTCGGTTGAGACTGACATTTGAAGCGCTCACTAGACACCTGTGGCTATTGGCTGCCATACTGGACAGCAAAGGCCTTAGAAGGACAAAGCTTGGCAGGCCAGTGGTCCGGTGGGGAGCCATGGCTCTTCCACAGACTAACTCTGTAACCCTAGGTGAGTCCCTGACTCTGTTCCCACAGCTGAAAAATGGAGATCAACCTGCCAAAGTTGTCTTGAGTAGAACACGAGACACAACGTATCTGAAGCACCTAGTACACAGCGGAACCCATAGGGGACCTGACTTAAATAAAGTCAGTAGGATAATGGCAAACATTCACACAGTTCTTAGGATTGGTCAGGCACTGTTCTAAGCATAGATATATATATATGAACTTAGTCTTCCTAGCACACTATGCAATAGGTACTCTTATTACCCCCATTTCTACAGAAAAGAAAATGGAGGCACAGACAAGTTGATGCCAAACATCAGTAAGGGGCACAGTCAAGACCGAAACATAGACAATCTGACTCGAGAGTACACTCTTCACTGTGACATGTATGGCCTCTCAATTGCGAGCAAATGGGGACAATGATTTTGGCATGTAAACAAAGACAAAATTAAAACAAAAGCAAGATTAATGACGTGGTTAGGTGAAGTTGAGACTCCCAAGTTGTCCACTCAATACCCATTCTCTCTTTTATCCTTGGAAACAGAATCTATATGTCCCCAGAATCTTGTACAGATAAGAGCAGTCAAAGAGATGTCAGCGACTTCATTGGGCGATATTCCTGGGAAGGTCTTTTTGCCTCTTCATCACCTGCCCCTTGCCTTCATTCTGCCTGGAACTCCCACTTAATGGCTGGAATTGCTGCAGTCACTCTGTGACCTTGAGGATGAAGTCCATTTGCATATGATAGTTGTACAGGAAGAAATTAGGAACCTGGGTCTCTGAGATTTGTGGAGCTGCCACAACAGTTCCATAACCTGCCTAGTTTTGGACTAGTTTCTTTTTGTGTCAGAAAAGAGCCAATTTGTTTACATTACTATAATTTGGTCTGACCTAAACAAAATTCCTAGTTAATATTCAATTGGGGTCATAGCAGATGACCCTCAGATTCAGCCCTCAAATCTTGCTGCTAGAAACACATTTTATAAGTTCTACAAAGTAACAAGAAATTCCTATACTTCTAATTAAAAACTGGTCGGCAAATCAAGTATTCCTTACTGATATGACCACTGATGGGTATAAAGAGAAGGAGAAGAATAACCTTAGAATAAGACGAAAAGTGCCTGAAGTGACAGAGGCTGGAAATCAGGGCTGTTTGGGAGCTATTTACCAAGATAATCTATTTTACCAGGCAAATTGGACAAACAATTCTTAACATACTGGAATAGTCACTACATCATAACAAAGCACTAAGTAGCTGGTGGAGTCCAAGCCAAAATAGAGCCAACCTCTTCTAAAAGTGTCCAGAACAATTTAAATGGTATTTTCCCTAAACGCATCTCTTTTAGGAGGTTGGAAGAGGAACCTGGAGGTCAATTTTGTCCCAAGGAGGCTTAAAACAAGAGTTTCAAACCTCAGACTCATGAACGGGGTTAAAATGAAATGTTAATGGGCTTAACAAGAGAATGGAGAAAATAAAGAGAATTAGAGTCATTCATCAAAATAACATTGTGTCAGCAGCCCAAGACAGATCACTACTGAGGGAGCAGGGCCAAAAGAAGAGAAAGAAACAAAAAAATTAACCCCACCTCAAAGGCAGTCAGAATCGGCTGGAGAAAAGGCATAGGATTTTACTGCTAATTCCAAGAAAACGGAACAAAATGAAAAAAAACACAAAGCATTTCTATGCCAACAACCCACCATCTTTGGCATTTGCAACATGCATAAATGCTCTTGAGGGAAATAAACACATATATGCCTACATCTTTAATAAAAGCTGCTAGCCACTTTTTCTAAAACAGAACTACCAGCGTACCTATCATGTTCTCCGCATAGTTGCTTCTCAGAGAGTGTTCTGAGCCTGCCCTTTGGAATGCCTTGAGGTCTCTTGCTTTTGCTAAACACAAGTGTACATGGAAAACGACTTCTGAAAGACCTCCCAAATTTCCCCATCCCTCAGGTATAAGATTACCCTGCAATCCCTTATCTTCTGCTTCTGTTACAAAAACAGAAGATTAGAAAAAGATACAACAGACGTCCTCCCGAATTCTTTTGTGTCGCAGGGTTGACTGGGATACCACACCCCTACAGTGAGCTTGGCAGCCTGTTCACCGCAATTTCACGAAATATAATTCACTTTATCCTCTTACTGAAAAGTCTTTGTTATGGTTTTTCCAGCAATAACATATATCAGAAATAGACATAGTAGGTGGGTGTCTCAGACTGGCTAAGAACCATAACACAAGACCAGTGATTTTGCTGAGGTCAAAGGGAATCAATTTAAGTAATAGAGTGGGCTGGCTCTGACTCAAGCCAACTAACCAAGTCATCAACTAGGTATAGCCTGTTGTCATCTTCCAGCAACTGCTAGCACCCGTCTGGGTCACTGTGCTTTGGCAGGACTCTGAGGCCACATCGTCATTTTGTAAGAATGAATGAATTCTTAATGGCTGCCATGGAAACCTGAGAACCATAATCCCACTCAAACCTATGATCTTCTGGCCATCAACATGCTGAGTTAAATCTCACAAAAAGTGAAAAATTCACTCTGGCTAAGGAGATCTATTTCTCTTTAAGCTAATGAAAGCTGCAAAAGCTGTTGTGCCCATGTCCATATACAGTTTTGGTTGGGCTCTTACTGGAGAAAGCTATATTCTCAACTGCTGAGGTCTCAGCCATCAAGAAGTGAGAACATGAGCTGACTTAGTCACCAAGTAAGTCAAGAATAAAATCAGCTTCATTGTAATTTTTAATTTTTTGTACTGAACTTTAAAATTTTTCAAACAACATTCATACCCTCCAGCTCATGTAACTTTACAACCACCATGGCAGATGAGTAAGGAAGCCACTAGTCCTCCTGTTTGACCACTGGAGACTGAGGAGCTCAGTGAGTTTGAGGTACAACCACCACAGCAGACCCTGTGGCCCCTTCAGACAAAGCAAAGGAGGAAAATGGGTGGGGAGGGGTTGGGGTATGGGGACACTGCCCTAATGAGCTCAGTGACCTTGGACAAGTCACTTCTATTTCTGTTCCCGCTCTATAAAATCGGGGAAGTGAGAGTTAAAGTCTGTCACTTCTGAGGACCCTTCGATGGAAACATTCTGAGTGCCACTCATTCCTCCAAAGTGGAGGCAAACAAGAAAAGAACAGAATATTAGAAGTGAGTAAAATGGACAATGGGAAGAAGAGAGAAGAAAGGAAAAATACATGTAAGGATGACAAGAGACTCAGACTAAAGCCCAGGGTTTGCATCACTGATGAGTGAAAGAATGCCATTTGCCATAGGGATTAAAAAAAAAAAAAAATCAGGTTAAGGTCCAAAACTTTTTGTAGCCAATGTTTTTGGGTGATGATGAGGAGGAGGAGGAGGATGATATCGCTACTATACTAACTTTTTATGTTTTAGATGGATACCAGGTGCAGAAGTTTGTACTAATCACACTTCTAGGTGTGTGGGGCACTGTTATTTCCGGACTGTATAAGTCGCAGATTTTTTTATTTTTTTGGTTATTAACAAATAAGTGGGAACCATTATAACCAACTCAGAATTTACATTTGCATATATCCCAGATGACATCACAGCTCCTTAAAGGGACCAACACAGGCTGGAAAAAGCCTGGTATTCCATAGTGAACAAAGGAAGTTCACTGTATTTCTGTGTTTCCTTGATTTTTAAAATTCTATTTATTTTACTTGAGAGAGTAAAATAACTGAGAGAGAGAGCAAGAGCAAACTGAGCTGGCGGAGGGACAGAGGGAGAGGGAGAGAATCTCAAACAGACCCTGTGCTGTGTGCGGAGCTGGATGCAAGGGCTCGATCCCACAACCCTGAGATCATGACCTGAGCCAAAATCAAGAGTCAGATGCTCAGCTGACTGAGCCACCCAGATGCCCCTTGATTTTAAGATGCTCCATCAACTTAAAAACAGCCTTCCACTGCCACCTCCAAAAGAGACAGAAGAAAAAGAAACACTGTACTGAATTAAGCTAAAAAGCGTGTCGGGATTTCAGGAATGATAAAATGAGAGAAAGGATGTTTTCAAATTAAGGCAATAATGTTAGCTCTGTGTCTTGTATCAGTATTATGCCATAATGTAAGTTTTCACAATTTTCAAAAGTAAAGTTGAACCTGTTACCCCCCAAAAGTATTATGCATGCTAAAACACACTGTATCAGCATATACTCTAAACAATGGTGACTAAGCCGACAGCTAACATTTTGCCCATTTCTGCTGCCCCAAGACAAAAGAACGGATTGGGGTGCTACTTGCCTTTCCGGGCTCACACTCGGTCCCATCTGCCCAGGGCGTGTGCTGAGTCCGACATACTCCATCCACATTATTGCACCAGAGTCGTCTACACTGCATCTGTTCAATTCGGTTAAACAACAAGTCAGTGACAATATGATTAGATGATATGGAACCAGGCAAGGATTGCCAACGAGATAGCATAGGTTAGAAAGGGACTTTTTTTTTTCTTGGTGTGATGAATGATAAAATATTCCAAGGGCTACAGAGAGCAGCCCATGAGACACATTTCTATGTCTGGTAGGACTTCAGGGGGTGTAAAAGGGGGATGTTTGCTATCACGAGTAACACAGAAAGGAATATAATCGTGGGAAGGTTTCACTCAAACATTTTTATTATTTCCATGGAATCACTGTACTTCCCAATTCACCATGTTATCTCCTAAGTCTCTCCCACCAAACCAACCAACCAGAGACCCAAAGGAAGAGAATGGGGCACCTCAGAGAAGCACATTTTTTTTTCCATTTGCATCCTGATAACCACTGGGTATCATTGGTCCAAGTGCCCACAACACACACATTAAAATATCCCACACCCCCCAGTTGAGCTACCATCAGAAATGATTTCAAGCCTCACGTGGTCATAGGACGCAGCCCTGACAAGCCAAAAGCTAAAACAGGGAAACAGGTTTGTCTCATAAATGACCTTTACTGAATCTAGAAGAGTCCCTATAATAAAGGTCACCTGGACAAATCAGTGGGGACGAAAGGAGACAAGGAGAGGAAAGGGCTGAGCTGTGCCATTACCAGCCCTGTAACCCTGTCCTCTGTGAGCCCCAGTTTCCCACATGTAAAATGAAAATGATAACGACATCTTCCTTTTGGGCTGTCATGACAGTGAAGTGAAAACGTGCAGGTGAAGCACCACCTAACAGCGAGCACTATCACTGTTGATCATCATCATCACTACTACTGTCATTAATTGTCAATGGACTGTTCTCCACTTTGCCACCAGTGGTCTATGTTAGAGTGAGAAGCCTGTGGAAAACTGTGAATTAAAAACATCCAGAATCAATGGATGAGGGCAGAAGTGGCCCCCAAACACTTACCATATATGGGCACACCTGAGAACCTGGTCCAAAAATCAGTTCACATTGTTTATTCACGTTGTAGAGGAGGCCTGGCAGTTGGGGAGGCAAAGGGTAGGGTCTGGATTCAGGTTCATTCAGCAAACACTCGCCGTAACCAGTGCTATGGAAAGCAGAAAAATACAGATGGTGAGAACCGTGATGAGAAGGGGCTGTCAAAGGGTCCAGATGAAAGTGAAGGCTATCCCACCATTTTAAAGGTAGAGAGGATAGTTCCTTTATCGAATGTGCTTTATTCTTTACATCCCAGGCTAATGTCCAGAAGCTGAAGCTCTATTTCTGGAACTGGTTTATGGAACTCTGGCTCTCCATACAACACAGTCAGTAGGAAATATGCAACTTTTACAGCATTTGCTGCTTTCAGGGCAATTATCTGTTTGTTTTTTTACCCTCATCTCCAATAGATTGTAAGCTTCTTAGGGGCAAAGATAGCGTCTTTTTCATCCAAGCACGGGGCTCAAAAACACCATAGCAACAGGTCTTTAGTAAATGTTTGCTGAGTAGAAGAGTGAGTAAATCAACAACCATAAGAAGAAACACGTCAGGTCATCTGGTTAAAAAGAAAAACAGCAACCTTCCAGTTCTTTGACTTTTCTGCAAACACCTCTTCTGGAAAATTCACACCTGGTGAGTTCTGATTAATAAGCCCCCTCTTCCCTGTGGCTGGAGAAATATACACCCAGTGACCTTGGACAATCACTTAACCTTTGGTACATCTGGGAGAGAAGAGCAATAAATCTGTGACACAGGGATATTGTATAACGTAATTGGATCTTTGAGCTGCCTGGCAGGAAGCTTAAAAAACAAAACAAGAAAAAGAAAAGAAAGAAGGAGAGAGAAAGAGTGAGGGAGGGAGGGAAAGAGAGAGACAGAGAAAGAATGTTCTCAATTCAACAACCTCGTGGTCTGTGTGATTTCCATCCACCCACATAACCCTCTTTGGGGTCATCTCACTACCCTCCCCTTTTCGGAGCCAAAATTATTAAGTGAGAGCCACATGAATATCTGTGGCCTTCCCTCATCGTGTAATCACATTCATGGGCCCTTCCCCAAGACCCGGACAGACTTCAGAGCTTTGCCAAGAACGAAGCCACATTTACATATTCTCTTTAAGATCCTGGCCTTTTCTTGAGCTCAGTTTGTAATCTTCAAAACTCTGGCCAGGAGAGGAACTGCACAGATGTCAAAGAGTATTTTTTTTACATCCTCCCAAGAATGTCAACAAAAAAATAACACTCCAAAGGAATGCTTGACTCAACATTTTCTTTCCCACAATAAGTTCACTACACGGAGACCAGACACTAGAAGCCCGGGCTCAAAGAAAGTTTAAGTCTTACTCTAAAAACTCAGTGATATATTTTCGACTACATTTTGACCACATCCAGGGGTTGGTGTAGAAGTTCAACGTCGGAGCCATGACGTGCTGGGGACTCTTAACTCCTTCCTCCTTGCACTTGTTGTTGTCATCATGAGGCATGTTAAACCTAAGGCCAGTGAGACAAAGACAGGAACATTAATAAATACCAAAGTACCGGGCTATTATCACTGCTTCAAGAAGGCATCTATCTAAGAGAAAAACATGAACTGCCTTCTGCATTATGAACAGGAACCCACATCCTGGGGAGCAGGAGAAAACTTTCTAGATGGTTCAAGGTGGAGTGGAGCAGAGAACGTAATTCTCACCCAATTTAATACAAAGTGTCTTTAATGTATTAAAAAAAAAGATGTACAGTGGCCCATTATCTGGGTTAGGTGTCCTTTTTGGAATTGCAGATGCTCTGAGCGTGCTGTAGTTGGTGCTAGAATACAGTAGTTGAAATTCCTAATAAGCTGTTAAAGGCCAATTTATAGAGTTAAGAATTCGGCAAGTTATGATAACACTGTGAATATAAAGAGTCCGTCAAGTGTCAAACCTTGAAGCCAAAAGCTTTCTAATAAGAGGCTCACTATGGGTCTTGGCATCTCCTCCTTCTGGGTCAGGTTGACAAATGATATAGCTGTGTAGGTATATCATTATAAAGGTATGCAAAGTTCATGCACAATAAACCCATTAAGGAAAGCTGCAAGCATGGAAACCAGAAGCATGCCAATTCAATTGGCTTAACGCAGACAGGGCAAATAGTTTCATGCTTCCTGCCAATGCCAATTGATTGGTACTGGCTTCCTAAAAAGTTGGGCACAAAAGGATTCTTAAACTAATCCAGGTTCTGTCCCGAGAAAAGGCTATGATGGAGGGCCAATGTCCTCTCGGGCCTGGGAGGGAACTCAGCAGCAGCATTAACACATACTTGCCATTCTTGGCTTCGCCCAGGGAAATGGGGGGGAAAAATGATAGGAAGCATTTCTCAATCTAGAAACATCAATTCTATGACCCACATGCCATTCTCAGCTCCGGTAATGAACTCAGAGGCGCTGTCCTCTCTGGATGACTCCCCAGTCACAAAATTGGTGCATGTGGCTAATTTTGCATTTAGGGGGGGAATCCCCTCCACTAGTTCATCTTGCAATAGGGAAATCAGTGAGCCAGACAGAAGTGTGTAGACTTGTTTCACATGCATCTAAAAGCTGGGATAAAAGCCTGTCAAGTCCATTCCATTCATTTCTCTTGGGTCTGGTTTTTTTCTTCTTCTAAAACAACTTGGGCTCCTCAGTAATTGCCTGATGAAATAATTGCCAGATGGAAATTACGAGATAGAAAACCTTCATCAGTCTAGGTTAAAATGAATAGTGGTTCTTCATGCTTAAGAGTCCATTTTCTTAAAAGAATGACTGCTCCCATTTCCCGTTCCCAGCTGCAAAGTCAGTGTCATACCTACACCAAGAAACCCCACACAAGCAACACGCCCAAACATTCGTTGTTTGTTTTTCTGTGGTGTGAAGGAGCTGGTGTTTACTCATCACCCCAAACATGCCTAGATAAAATCAAGTTTATTTCATGACATCAACAGAAAACTTCTTTTCATTCAAATGTCAGGCACGTTTGCTCACAGCAGGGGCTAGATAATATTATTCACTGAGCACTTCACTAAAAAATAATAACCAAGACTTTTTTTTTTTTTTTTTTGCATTCACAACGTACCAGGCAATTGTGTTAATTGTGTTAGATGCTTTATTTCATTTAACTACCTTATGTGAAAAGTGCTATTACTACCCACATTTTATAGATGAGAAAACATGAGTTGTAGAGAGATTGAATGACTTGATTAAGGTCACATGGGTGATGGGGTGAGGGAGCTGAGATTGGAAACCATTCCAGTCTGATTCTAAAACCCCTGTGTTTTGGAATATATATAAAGCATATTCTCTCCTGTTAGACAAATTGTGGAGGATTTGTCAGGAAGACTGTGAAAGGACTTCTGTATCCAGCAGAGTCAGTTATTTCCCAAATTCCTCCCAACTCAGATTTGGTGCATCTAGAAGCAGGTACGAGAAGGTAGGAGCTGCTTTTGAAGCATCCAATGATACTCAACAAATACACGATCAATTCCTTTTTTCTCCCCAACAGGGTTTTATGTTATCAGAGAGTCATGACTGTTAACAACTTAATGTTTAATCTTTAAAAAGTTCATTAGAAAATCTGCTACAAAGTACTGTAGCAAATTTAAAAAAAAAGGATATTCATTTTATGTTAAATATAAGCAAACCTAACTATATGAGACAAAGCATCAAAACAAAAAGAATTCACTAACAGGCCAGAAATACATTTTTTGTTTAGCTAATAACTCTCATCATTCACCAATTATTTCATTTTTTTAAAATTTCCTGATACCCTTGAGATGAGGTGCATATATATTAGCCCCATCTAACAGTGAGGGAAACATACATTTTTCTCAAGTCAAAGAGAATGCAGAATTAGAACAATTCAGTCCAGAACTTGAGTATCTGGCTCCCAGCTGATTTCCCTGTTAGAGCTGGTACCCCAATATTACATGCTGGTACCCCAACATTAACAACTAGACTTTGAGCAATTTAGTATTTGCTAAGGTCGTTTGACAGGGAAACAGTATCTACCATGTGGTGATTATGAAGTTTAAGGGAACTAATGTAAATAAAAACTCCTAGACCAATGCAAACGACATGGTTTTTGTGGGGGGAAATGTTTGTTAACTGTATGGAACTATACAGCTGAGGCTCCTCTATGGCTGAAAATACTCTGTTTTGCTAATCAAAATTCTCACTTTCCTTAAAATGTCAACTTCATAAACTGGCTGTCCTAAAAGGAGTTTATAAGCTCTTGTGAGGAAGGAATTAAAAGGAAATTAACTATATTTCTTTATAGTATACCTTTCTTAACCATAGATTATAGGTAATTGTTAATCTGTTAATCACACAAACTCTCACCCTCTGAATCATTCCTATCTCTCACTTCCCTCATTCTGGTCTCTTGAGGCAGGAATGGTTGCCTTGTTGAAATGCCACCCTATTCTTCATGGTCAAATCTACACCTCCTATTCAAAGGTCTAAAGGAATTTACTAGACTTTACGCAAAACAAACAAAAATCCCCAAAGATTCTATTAAAATAAGTTTGGGAAAACGGAGTTAAACAGAACTAAGCAGTTTATTTTAATACAGGACTTGTCAGAGCCTTTACTTTATGTCACTGAGCCTTGTGACTCTAAGCAGGGCTAGACCAGGAAGAAAAAACAATTTTTTTTAATTACTTGACTATAAACCTCCTTCCCCCCTCCCCCAATAGACCATTCTCTTGGAATTGTGCTGGAGCCCTTATGTATCAGGAAACGGTGGTGGGACCAGTTTTCGAACTGAGCTCCAAGAAATCCTTGAGTTTCACAAAAATATTTCCAAAGCCAAAAGGACAGAGAGGAAGCTGACTAAGCAGGACTCTGGCCCACCACAACTGCTTAATGAAAGCCATGCTGCTTTTGTGCTATAAATATTGGGCATCTGACAGTATTTCCTTTGGAGAAAAGAAAACAGGTGTGCTCCTAAAATATGCTTCAAAGTTACTAGTTTCAAAATATACCCATTATGTGTTGAACTAAACTGGAGATGCCTCTATATATGCATCTTGCTTTACTTCTAGAATAGCCCACTGCACAATGCATATATATGCATCTTGCTTTACTTCTAGAATAGCCCATTGCACATAGGTGCCTTCAAAAAGCACTTGTTGAATAAAAAAGCTTGCTTAATAGATTATTTACCTCTAAACAAGGTTAACACTGACATGTAAATCGATATACAACTATATCAGTGACATCTGTTGAGAAAATTATTTTTAAAAGATATAGTATGAGTAATTAAATCATTCTAGAAAGAAAACAACGCAGATCAAAAATCAGAATAATTTCTAGTAAATTTACACTGTTTCACCCCATGTTCTAGCTATGCTCTGTTTCTAAAGAACAAAAAGGAAAAGCCAATTTCATAATGACCACTAAGTGACCACAGTTAGGAAAAGTTTTCTTCTCTGTATCTTTGTTCAATCTCTTCTCTGAAAGAGGGACATCACTGTGCCCAGAGGCTAAATATCTGAATGAAAGCCTTATCTATCGATAGCCAGGAACAATCTGGATTTGCGAAAATCTTATGACCCAGGGCAATGAAGGGAGACCCTCCCAGATAAAGATGTTACTCGGGAAAGTTTCCTATGCTAATGGATGCTCTGCTTCAGTGGGTGGGCTGGAAAGGCCCCATTCCTCCAATTCCAAGCAGGAAAGGAGAAGACTAGATGTTACATCGTAAATGTGTGCAGTTAAACCCAAGACGCACATCAGCTATGGATGAAGAGGGGGCGCTGCATGACTCAGCTTTCTAGAGTCAACTAGGTTCGAGGATCTTCAACCCTGAAATTTCTGTTATGACTCAAGAAGTGCCTTACCCTCTCTCAAATCAAGGGGATACTCATTGATGCAAAGGAAGAAAAGTTTTAGGTCACTCGGAATTAAATGAAAATGCGAAAAGGAAACATACACATGGCCCAGCTCATGGGCTATGGTGAAAGCCGTACTCAATCCGCTGTCTTCACTAATAGAACAGCTTCTGTAGGGATCACAGATGGTACCCAGCTCAGCAAGACCTGTTCAAAGGAAAGAAAAGAAGGGTTTACTTGAAAAAGCAATTGTGGCTTGGAATAAAAATGCAGGAAACTGTTGTAGCCACAGAGGATGCACACAGCGGACTCACCTAAGGTGTCACATTTGTCATGAGCTCTGCAGATATCCTGTCTGAAAGCAAAGCAGACTTAGGGCCATGACAACACCAAAGAGTAAATGTCAACACAAGTGAACACTTGACAATCTTCTAGGCATTCACAACAGTGCCCCCATCGCGGGGGAGGTGGTTACAAAGACCGAACTGAGGAGGCCAAGGGTTTGTAACTCAAAAAATCTTGGCAACCAGTGACGTAAGGATTAAAAGCTACAACAAGAGGGCTTCTTCTGCCACAGGGGTAGCTACAGAGCAGGTGAAAACCTCTCCAACCTGGGCTTTCCCTCCTACCATGATTCTAGTTTCTTCATGAACGTTCCTGAGAAGGCTCAATGCCTCTCATGTCAGTTCACGTACGAGTAAGTGACTGTGACTATCTCCAACATGGCTGAAGGGAAATACAACCAGGACAGCACTCCTCTTTGTTGCCCTACAGGGCATTTTAAGTATTTCTGAGTTCGTTGCTACCATGTAAAAATTGGAAGATTTCACTTAAAAGAAAAATCCGTATTTCTGACTTCTTGCAAAATCACAGAAGTTGGTGACACTGGACACCTTCGTGGTGTGGTAACAACTGGCTCCACCTGAACAGCAGCTGCCTTTGGTCTAAGGGCGTTTACTGTTGGGCCTGACACATCTCCTGCCCACTGGGCACCTATTGGCTCATACTTCTCAATCAGGGGTGATTTGCTCCCCTCACCCCCAGAGACATTGTTGGTTGTCGCAATCAAGAGGAGAAGTTGCTACTGATAGGTAGTAGGAAGAGACCACAGATGCTGCTAAACATCCTGCAATGCACAGGGCAGCCTCCACAATAGTGCTGACGTTTGGGAACCTTGTACTAGGGGCTGGCTACCAAGAATATATGACCTTGTCCCACCAACATGAGTGGAAACCGAAAGAGCTGATGAATGAGAAATCCATATACCTCGTTACAAGAACAGCAGTATCGTGCTGGATTCCACCTGGAGAATTCTTCGAGTGTTGCCACTGGCAAAAATTTTTTAAAGTTGTCTGGGCATTAAAAGAAATGGAAGGTCCTTCCTAAATGCAGAAAAGAATTATGATTGGCCCATTGTACCACCACTGAGATATGCCATTTCGGATACATATACAAGAAAGAAGAAAAAAAACTTGATTACCTGTTCATTATGAATCACAACTAAGTTCACAATAACAATATTAATTAAATTTCCAATACTTGGGTCTTTATAGATAGAGGCTACCTGCAACCGAGATAAATTTTTCAAGGTTAATTGTGAACTCTGTGTAAGCAATAAGCAATTCACTTCTTATGCTGGGGCTCTACCTCTTGCCACGTTTCACGCAAACATATGCATTTTGTAGTTTTGAATTTGCATTAGTTCAACAAACATTTCTTAAAACTCTCTTTGAAAAATTCATAGACGGCAGTTTCAGATAAGAATGAATCCCAACAAGTTTAACTTTCAAAGTGTTTTCCTTGGAAATTGCATTGCCACACAACTTAACAGTTCTCTGTGCCAAAACACTGGATATTCATTTTTGAGCAAGCTCTTTCATCCCAGTTGAAGTCCCAGATTGCCCAATTATGGAATCTCACATTGACCATGTTGGCTAACACAGTTGTTCTTCATGTTTACCTCCCATGTGTGTTCTTCACAACCTGGTAACCTGTTTGGTTTGGTTTGGTTTTGCTTTCATTATTATCGTTAATTATGAGAGCTAATGTTCACTGAATGCTTATTGTGTACTAGATCCTTGCTGAAAATTGCATACGCATTTGCATTTAGTCCCCAGAGCAAAACTCTGGGCTAGGTATCACAATCTCTGCACAACAAGTGAGAAAACTAAGGCTCAGAGAATTTAAGTAACTTTGCCAAGACTATAGACAGCGCTGAGTGGCGGAGCCAGAATGCTCAAGCTACTACATCAATTTGACCCAAAATCCAGGCTCATAACTGAAATTCTTCTGACAGGTCTGAATTTATGGGCTGGAAATAGACTTGAGTCTGGGCAAGGTGTGATTAGGTTTTCCTCTCCTTCCTCCAGGACAGGAGAGGGCTGGGGCCTGGGGGACTGAGCATGGGGAAGGGAGGCGAGGGGGGAGTGCAGGGCAGGCAGGTTGAGGAGTGGGGTGGGGAGCACAAGGGAGTGGTTCACAGCAGGGAGGGGGAAAGACTAGGAGAAGCACAGGCCAAGGAGAGGGAAGAAGAACTCTAAAAGCATAGGTCCCAAACATGGTTGCTTTTCACATCCTTTTGGGGGAATTTATTCAAAGTATGTTCCCGTTCACATAAAGTAAGGTCAATCCATTGGAATAAATGCTGTGTTGAGTCTTAAAATGAATGAGGGTAGATTGTATGGGCTGCTATAGAACAATCTCCAATGTTTTTAAAAGGAAAGAACAATATGTAAAACAGTGTATTAGAATGTTCTATTTTGGTTTGAGAAACGTTGTATGTGCATACATATTTAGTTGTGTTGTCCAATATGGTAGCCACTTGCCACATGTGGCCAATGAGCACTGGAAGTGTGGCTTGTGGCTTGTCTAAAATAAGATGTGCTGTTGAATGTAAGACACACACTGAATTTTAAGACTTTGTAGGAAAGAAACTAAAATATCTCATTAGCAATTTTTGAAATGATAGCATTTTGACAAAAATTAATATACATCATTAAAACTAATTTTACTTTTTTTTTTTTTAAATTACATATGTGGCTTGCATTATATTTCTACTGGGCAGTGCTGGTTAGACACATATGCAAAAAAAAACTTTTAACGGTGGTTGCCTCCTGGAAGGGGCCAGGGTAGGTAATGACACTTCTTTTTCATGACTGGTCTTTGGTTCTGTTTGATTTTTTTTTTTTTAATAATGTAATTCTATTGATTTTTCGATTCAAAGTGAGAGTAGGAAAATAGAAAGGGAGAGATCCTGTGGGCCTCATCCCAAGGCCACTTAATTAGACCCATAGCTGGCCGTGCAAGTGTGTATGTCAGACAAGGAGCACTGGGGTTGGGAAGTGGACCATCTAGAGGTCACATGCAGTCTCTAAGCCACTTACTAGCTTCATAAGACCATGGGCAAGTGGCCTAACTCCTCTGAGGCTCAGTTTTCTTATCTATAAAATGGGGGTGATAATCCTACCTAGCAGAGTTGCCAGGAGGATTAGAAATGATGCCTTTTAACTACGAAGCCCATTGCCTAACAGAATAAACACTCCACCCTGTCCCCATTATTGTTATTATAAAAAGGCAACCAATAAATCATCTGATGTTCTCTTCAGTCACTTGCCTGAATCGTTGAAATGCCAGCCCTGAGAATGATCCTCCAAAGCACTGGGTGGAAACCCATTTCCCAATGGCACATTTAGGGACCTCATAAATCACCTTCTTTTGAATGTACTTACAATTGACATTAGAGTTAAAATATAGTGTTGAAGGTTTGTTCCGTGGTATACAACCATTTTGTAGTCCGCCACCACCATCACTTCTACAAACCGTGGGTAGGATAAAAAACGTTTTGTTCTTCTGTGGGTCCTCTTATCCCTGGTGCTGTCCGTCTTGTTGGCATAGGCAGAAAGCGCCTTTGTTGCTAAGCTGCTTTTTAATATCGCCACGTCATCAGCCAGGCTACGCCTCTCTCCCCATCTTCTTGTTCTCATTTTCCTCTTGTCTTTGCTGTGACTATTTTTGTGTTCTGTAACAAATCGGAGGGTATGCATTACATTTCAAACCACTTCTCCTTCATATTAAGAATTTAATTTGCCACATCTTAAAAGATGATGCCTCTGTTGTCAAATTACGTACAAAATCAAGTTCTACACACTGTGGACTCTACGGAGGAAACTCAACCTGCACTCCCCTCTAAATGACTAAGGACTTGCAATTAGCTTCCCTGGAAGTTTCCATTAATGCTCACTTAAGGTATTAGGAAATCAGGCAGGAGTTTAAGGGAAGCAATTGCCTATGACTCTTTTCATTTGGTAACAAAAGTCTTGTTGGAATGTAACTGGCTTCCATTCATTGTTCTTTGCCATAGATACAGTAAGGGCCAGCACAGGTACTGGGCTTTACAGAATGGAAATGGAGATGTTTCCTATACACCACTTTTGCTATTCAATGAGCTGCAGGATAAAGAGGTCTGAGAGGTGGCCAGGCTAACAGACAATACAAAGGGACTCTAGAAAACGCATGACAAGGTATTTTTCTATTACCGCATGAAATCATTGTTTTACATGAAATGTAAGAATAGAATCACTGCTATTTGTCGCCTCTGATCTTAATTAATTTAGTTCAGGGCTCAGTTAGGGAAGTTGATTAAACTCAGAGAAGATGAACAGGCCATTGAGGCTGTGATGTGCAATGCCAGATTCTGACTCTTGCCTAGCTACGTCCTCAGTTCTGTACAATTTGGCTGCTCAAAGTGAGGTCCGCGGACCAGCAGCATTGGCAGCCCCTATAAGCCTGTGAGAAATGCAGACTCTCTGGCCCCACTCCAGCCCCGATAAATCAGAATCTCCAGTTTAACAAAACATGTTAATGTTTTGGGAAGCGCTAGTCCACAATGCGGCTTGAAGCTTGTGTTGCTGGAGAAAATCTTCATTTTCGAAGTCATCAACCACACAACAAACAGAATAAGCATAAAAGTGCCTGGCTCTGAGCAAGAACAGAATTTAATCTGTTATCTTTCCTATCATCTCATAAATGGGCTTTAAAGTTTTAATGCCAGAATCCTGTAGTCTAAAACAGGCCACAGAATCATACACCTGACAAGTGTGCTTACCTAAGATACAAAGAAGAGAGTTTATTGCACCAATAACAACAACAACAAAGATTAAGCCAGAAGTGGTTTCATATTTGAAGGGTTCAATATTTGACCATAAAAACCATCGCTAAAACAACCCATTTAGGCCAGGACGTGTATTTTGCCCAAGTTGAGTGTTTTAGCAGGTGTTAAAATAGTGAAATCGGTCCACACTGTCAAACAAGTTATATGTAGCCATAGATCACATAACTAGCCCAAAGTCTGGTACACAATGGGATTCCATATAATATCCTTTTCTGCCGGTCTCTTGTGAGTATATCCATGTATATTACACCCACGCCATAGGGGTATTTAGGCTGTCCATTTTTAAGTCACCAAATGACTATGGAATACATCCTAATCAAGTACCTACTATGGGCCAAGCATTGAACTAGGCTCTTTTGTGTATATTGTCTCACAATTCCTCTCAAAATGAGAAAATTAACCTCTACTTTACAGATGAGGAAACTAAGTCTCAAAGAGATTGAGCAACTTGTCCAAGGTCACATAGCAGGAAGTGGTGGTTTGAGGCATCAGACATGGATTTGATCGATGCCCTAAAACATGCTCTATTTGAGCAAGATTTCTCAAGAGCTAGGGATTGAAATGGGCTCATGGTTTGGTTAAATTTCAACTGAACAAAAGAGAGCATGTGGATATTTTCACAAAGACTAGCTTTTTACAATAGGTGTGCGGAGGCCATGTTGAAAACTGCGTGGTTTTTAATATATTAAGAAACAATGTCACTGGGGCGCCTGGGTGGCTCAGTCGTTAAGCGTCTGCCTTCGACTCAGGTCGTGATCCCAGGGTCCTGGGATCGAGCCCCACGTCGGGCTCCCTGCTCGGCGGGAAGCCTGCTTCTCCCTCTCCCTCTGCTGCTCCCCCTGCTTGTGTTCCCTCTCTCGCTGTGTCTCTCTCTGTCAAATAAATGAATAAAATCTTTAAAAAAAACCCAAAAGAAACAATGTCATTCATTTTATGAAAAGCAAATAATCCTGTTTATTACATCTTCTGGTAAAGGCTTAATATAATTACTATAATCAGTAAAGTTTCAAAGGCTTTAAAGTCTCTCTATTCTCCTACTTTCTCTAATTATTTTGTGCTCTAATCTTTATTATTTTCTTCTCTCTGCAAGCTGTAATTTTGTTTTCTCTTCTTTTTCCAGAGAGAAACTCAAGCAGACTCTGTGCTGGGCACAGAGTCTGAGGTGGGGCTTGATCTCACGACCCTGAGATCAGGTCCAGAGCAGAAACCAAGAGTCGGATGCTTAACCAACTGAGGCGCCTAGGTGCCCGCCCCCCTTCCACTGTCTTAAAGGAGAAGGTTAGATTACTGATTTGAGATATTTCTTCTTTCTTAATAGAGCCATCGATAGCTCTAAATTCCCCTCTAGGCACTGCTCTACCTGCATCCCATAAATTCTGGTATGTTCTATCTTCACGCTTATTCATCTCAAAGTATTTTCCAATTTCCCTTTTGACCTACTGGTTATTTTAGCATGTGCCGTTTACTTTCCACATATTTTTGAGTTTCCTATTTTTTTAATGTTTTTGATTTCTACTTTCATTCCACTGTAGTCAGGGAAGGTACTATGTATTCCCTCTATCCTTTTAAATGTATTGAGGTTTTTTTTTTTTTATGGCCTATTGTATGATCTATTCTGGAGAATTTTCCATGTGCATGTCAGAAGCATTTGTATTCTGCTGTCGCTGCACAGAGTGTTGTATAGATATCTGCTGGGTATAGCTGGTTTATAGTGTCTTTCAAGTTTTCTATGTCCTGTTGATCTTCTGCTTCCCTGGTCTAACCATTACTGAATATGGGGTATTAAACTTTCAACAGTTACTGGTGAATTATTAATTTGTCCCTTCAGTTCTGTCAGTTTTTGCTTCATGTATGTGGTGCTCTGTTAGGAAGTGCATCTATATTCATAATGGTTAAATCTTCCTAGTGAACTGGCCCTTTTTTATTATAAAACATGTTGGCAAACTTTATCAATAAAGTAATGTGAAAGAAGCCAGTCAGTATATGATTCCAGTCATACAAAATGTCCACAAGAGGAAAATCAAGAGACAGAAAGTAGATTAGTTGCTGGAGGTGGGGTGGTGATATGAGGGGTTGGTAGCGAAAGCGTACAGTGCTTCTTTTTCAAGTGATAAAGATGTTCTAAAAATGATGGTGATGATGGTCACACATATCTGTGAATACACCAAAAGCCATTAAATTGGACACTTTAAGTGGATGAATAGTATGGTATGTGAATTTTATCTCAATAAAGCTGTTTAAAAAAGAAAATATATCAGTTTGTGAAAAAGAAATAATCTTTACTTAGGGTCTTCTATAAATATTTTTATTTATCAGGTTTAGTTAGAGAAAAGTACAACTACAGTGAGAAAAACACTCAGGAAATGCCGTATTCACTCTTTTTTGACCACTCACGGGGAAAAATATACTCTCAGAGACTCACCAGAGGGGACTTGTACATGGGAATATCTGAATGGGAATCCAGGCACTAACTAGAAACAAGGGTTACTTATTTAAGTAACAAAGCTGAAGAAATTCAGGCATTAATCACAAAAAGACTACAATTTATAACAGAGAACAACGCATGTAAGTTCTAATATACCTGGAAGACATTTCATTCACAAGTAATCTGTGTATCAAAGAAATAATTCAGTCTACTTTAGGTGGCATGAAAAAGCAGGAATAAAATTACTTCTTCAGAATCAAAAACATCTTCTAATATATAATAGTTCCCAGTCTTTTACCCGTCTGATCTTTTATCCTAATGAGTTAGAATCCTAATTAACGACCTATTTAGCTCAACCAATTTCAAACACATTATCCATTTTAACAGGCAACTTTTAATTTAACATTAAAAATAGTATGAGCTTTAAAGATTCAAATATTCACAATGGCTACAAACGCATGAACATTTTTCCTGAGAACTGAAAATATAGAAACTATAACTTCTATATAAATATAGAAAGTATACCTACTCAACTCTCTTGCCTCTGAATAGAATCTATAACAACAGAGAATAATTTCCACCAAGGGACATACGGTGTTAAGATAAAATGAAAATCATCCACATTTCTCTTTAATGACCTTGTAGCATAATAGAATTGAGGCTAGTGTTTCAAATTGGCAATGCCAAAAACTTTGCTATTAGTTTTTTTTTTTTTTAAGATTTTATTTATTTATCTGACAGAGAAAGACAGCAAGAGAGGGAACACAAGCAGGGGGAGTGGGAGAGGGAGAAGCAGGCTTCCCGCAGAGCAGGGAGCCCGATGTGGGGCTCATGACCTGAGACGAAAGGCAGATGCTTAACGACTGAGCCACCCAGGTGCCCCAACTTTGCTACAGTTTTATCAGAATGGGCTATCTACATAATGAAATTTCACTCTGGTGGAAATCACAGTACAAATTGTGTATTTTTGCTCTTCCTTTCTTTTTTTTTTTTTCCCCACACATAGCTTTACATATATCAGTACTTTTTATTGAGATATAATATATAGGGGCTCCTGGGTGGCTCAGTTGGTTAAGCGTCCTACTCTTGATTTTGGCTCAGGTCATGATCTCAGGGTCCTGAGACTGAGCCCCGCTTCGGGCTCCACGTGTCTGCTTGAGATTCCCTCTCTTCCTTTCCCTCAGCCCCTCCCTGTCCTCTCTCTCTTTAAAAAAAAAAAGACAGAGTGAGATAATTTATATAACCATAAAATTCACCCTTTCAAAGGGTATAATTCAGTGGTTTTTAACATATTCATAAAGTTGTGCAACCATCACCATGATCTGATTTTAGGATATTTTTATTGCCCCAGAAAGAAACCCTGTCCCCAGTAGTGGTTATTCCCCCATTACCTCTCTCCCTCCAGCTCCTAGAAAACACTAAC